TCCTCCTCCTCCTCCTCCTCCTCATCATCATCATCATCATCATCATGATCAGCATCAGCATCAGCACCCTCTTATTCCTTGTAATTGTTAGTAGTATTAATATTATTCTTTATACCACCATTAATATTAGTATTGGTATTATTGATGATATTATTAGTAGTAGTATTATCTTTATTATTATTATTAGTATTATTAGTATTCGTATTATTATTAGTATTATTATGAATATTAATAGTACTATTAATATTATTGTTAGTAGCATTATTGTCATTAGTACTATCATTATGATGATTATGATTATCATTTTTAAAAAAGAATAGTATTATTGCCAGTATTATGTAGTAGCAGCAGGAGTAGTAGTAGTAGTAGTAGTGGTGGTGGTAGTGGTAGTGGTAGTGGTAGTGGTAGTGGTAGTGGTAGTGGTAGTAGTAGTAGTAGTAGTAGTAGTAGTAGTAGTAGTAGTAGTAGTAGTAGTTAGTAGTAGTAGTAGTAGATAGTAGTATAGTAGTATAGTAGTATAGTAGTAGTTAGTAGTTAGTAGTAGTAGTAGTAGTAGTAGTAGTAGTTAGTAGTATAGTAGTAGTAAGTAGTAGTAGTACTAGTAGTAGTAGTAGTAGTAGTTAGTAGTCGAGTCGTAGTCGTAGTCGTAGTCGTAGTCGTAGTAAGTCTAGTCGTAGTCGTAGTACGTTGTCGTAGTCGTAGTCGTAGTGTCGTTAAGTAGTAGTTAGTAGTAGTAGAGTAGTAGTAGTAGTAGTAAGTTAGTAGTAGTCGTAGTCGTAGTCGTAGTCGTAGTCGTAGTCGTCGTAGTAGTAGTAGTAGTAGTAGTAGTAGTAAGAGTAGTAGTAGTAGTGTAGTAGTAGTAGTAGTTAGTAGTAGTAGTCCCCTCCTCCTCCTCCTCCTCCTCCTCCTCCTCCCTCCCTCCTCCGCCCCCTCCTCCCCCTCCTCCCCCTCCTCCCCCTCCTCCCCCTCCTCCCCCTCCTCTCGGCTGAGGCTCGCTGCTCTCCCGCCTCCTCGGGGGTGGAAGGGAGGCGCGGGGGGGGGGGGAGGAGAGGGCGGCTGGAGACGGAGGGAGGGTGGGCGGGGGAGGGGGAGGTGGATGGGGAAGAGGGGGAGGAAGAATGGATACCGACGCCTCCGCCCTTCTTCCGTCGCCACGGTCGGATTTGCCACGAAATCTTGGCCAATCAGAGCGCACCCCAGGAGAGGTCCGTGGAGTAGCGGTATGGGTATCGTAACGGCCTTCGACAGAACCCGCCACCGTGCTTGGGATTGTGGGCGCAGAAACGGCCACCGTGCTTGGGATTGTGGGCCAGTGTCATCAGAGCTGCCTGTTTCTCTTGGGAAAAGCTTTCGGGAGCCTCTTGGGGCGCACTTTTGAGGCCGCTTGGGGGCCGATCTGGGGCCCCTTTGGGGCCTCTTGGGGGCCTGCTCGCGGTCTCGGGAGCTCTCTTGGGGCGTGGGGCGGGCGAGAAGAGTCAGCCCATGTGCCTCGTCCTGAGCCCCCCCTGAGGGGCCGTCTTGGAGGCCTATCGGGGCCCTCTTGGGCCATCTTGGAGCGATCTTGGAGGCCTCGGGGACGTCTTGGAACGTGAGAACACGAAAACCCGTCAGACTTAGAAAAGTCAATGATGTTGGCATCTCGGCCCTCTTCTGGGTGCTCTTGGAGGACTCTTTTGGCGTTTTGGAGGCCTCTTGGGCCACCTCATCTGGAGGCGTCGTGGGCCGATCGTTCTGCGACTCGGAGCCCTCTTGTACCATCTGAAAAGCCTCTTGGAGCCCTCTTGGCCCCTCTTTGCGTCCTCTTGGGCCCGAAACAACCATGCGACAAGACCCAGGGAACCGCGGGAGAGCCGCGGGGAGCCTCAGAAAATGTAAGAATGTGTGGTCAGGGCCCATACTACAAGTGACCTGAGGACACTCCAACTCGTGCCTCGCGACACGGTGGCGGATCTTGATGGTTCCCCAAGAGAGGGGAGAAGGACGATGGGGCGGAGGAGTAGTAGCAGTTGTAGCAGGCTCAAGGCTGGCTGGTCGTTACTCAGAGTCGACAGTATCCAGTCGACCAGCCGAGGAGCAGGGGATGGAGTGGGATGGACGGGGGACGAGGGCCGAGGGGGGGCAGGAGTGGGATGAAAATGATGATGATGATGATGATGATGATGATGATGATGATGATGATGATGAGGAGGAGGAGGAGGAGGAGGAGGAGGAGGAGGAGGAGGAGGAGGGTGGGGTTCAAGTGGCCTGATCCTCCCATCCGTGTGAATGGCCGAATGGGACGACGAAAGGAGCCGAAATCTACCCCCAGGCCCCATCCTGGGCGATTCGGGCTGCCTCCTGAGTTGTCAGGGGCCTTTTCAGAAGGGCATACCGAAACAGAAGCTGAGCACGTTTGGCTCCACAGGTTGCAGCGTTGGTAGTATTGGCTCCAGCCATCTCCTCCAGCTATCTCCTCCAGCTATCTCCTCCACCAGTTGTAGCTTTGGTAGTACTGGCTCCAGCTTCGCCCTCCTGCGCCCCGGTCTCCTCATGGGGGGGTCACGGGGCAGACCCGGCTCTGCCTCGCCCTCCACCTTCCTCCTCCTCTTCCTCCTCCTCCTCCTCCTCCTCCTCCTCCTCCCCGCCTTGCGGCAGAGGTCGTGGGGCGGGCGTGGCCCGGTTTCACGCCCTGCCTTTCCTCACACGTCTCGCCATGACCGGGTGCACCCTTGCTGCTGCCTTACCCCGCTCACGAATTCCCCCCAGCATTCTAGCCTGGCGGACGACAGTAAATCTTGGCGGATCCACGGCAGTAGATCTTGGCGGATCCAGATAAGTTGGCGCGGATCCGAATGTGGTTTACAATTGTCTTGCGGTGAATCCAATGTCCCTCCGTTCGGATTCGATTTCGAATGTTGTGGATCTGCTGTCCGTCATGTTTGTCACACGGATCCGATTGATACGTCGTTCTCAAAGAATAATCTGAAATAACACCAGCTGACGGACAAAAATCGGATCCGCGGCCTTCAAGAATGCCGCTGTTAAGCTTATACGTAAGTGGCAGGGGGGGTTGGTTACGAACTGTCACAAACAGGTCACGCGCTGTTCCACAGGCCCCATCATCCCTCCCCACGCGCGGCTCGCACCTAACATGAAAGCCTTTCTCCTCACCCCTGGCTGCTGCAAGCAGTGCGTCTGGCGGCGCCAATGTTTTCTCGCCAACCACTTGTCACCGCTGGCGTCTCAAGGGGAAAAGTATCAGTCCTGCGTAAGTGTGGCTTCGGCGCCTGCGTTTCCTAGCCCAGCGCACGGCGCATGTGCCGTCGTCGCTCGTCTTGAGTGCCCCCGCAACAAGTTCCCGCGCTGGGCCCGCCGCCGAACGAGCACATGGGCGGAGGGCCATGTCTGTTTCAAAACGCGAGGGCAATATCTGGTTCAAAACGGGGCCCGCCGCCGACCAAGTACAGGGATGGCGAGTGCAAAACAAAGATCGCTGACCGGGTTATGGCGTGGCCCAACGTGGTCCAGAGTGTAAGGCAAAGGTGTTTTGGTGCAAGGACGTCTCCCGCTGGCGCCTCAAGGGTAAAATCGTTCGCCTTGCGTAAGCATGCCGTTCACTGCCGACCTTCACACATGAACTATTTCCAGCACTGTAGCTGATAAGTCGCTCGCTGCCTACCTTCGCCCATAAACTACTCCCAGCGCTGTAGCTGGTGTGTCGCTGACTGCCTGCCTTCTCGCAGGAACTACTCCAAGCGATGTAGCCGATATGTCGCTCACTGCCCGCCTGCTCGCACTAACTACTTCTGGCAATGTAGCCGATGTGTCGTTCATTGCCTGCCCTCTCGCACGAACCACTCCCAGCCTGGTAGCTGATGTGTCGTTCACTGCCTGCCCTCTCGCGCGAATTACTCCCAGCGCTGTAGCTGATGTGTTGCCCACTGCCTGCGGTCTCGCCTGGACTGCTGCCAGCGTTGTAGTTGATGTACTGTCCATGTCTTGCCACGCTGAGTAGCCACAGAGACTGCTGCCACTGGTCGTCGGCCTTCCCGCACGCACGACCTGGTCCCAGCCCTGTAGCTCATGACGTTCGCCCGCTCGGGCTCTGGAGCTCGAGCTGCCGCCCACAGCCCCTTTTTTTTCGCACGAGCTGCCCCCAGCGTTGTAGCTGATCCTTCGCGCCCAGCACTGCCCTTCTCGCGTGAACAACTCCCTGCGTTGTACCTGAGATGTCGCCCTAGAGCGCGAACTTCGCCTTCAGCTCCTCGCACGCACGATTCCCAGCGTGGTAGTTGATCTTAGCTGCTCATTGCCGCCCTTCCTGCGCGAGCGGATCCCGGCGCTGTAGCTGATTTGCTCTCGCACGCCTGCGCTGATCCCAGCGGTGTAGCTGACGATGTGGACCACCAGCGTCTCTCTGCACGCTGATCGCGGTCCTCGGCCGTGCACTGGGAGGAGAAGGAGAAGTGCACCGGGAGACGGTCCACTTTCTCGACGGCCCTCTGGCGGCTGGGCCCCCGCACCGCCGTGGCCCCCAGATGCGACGCGCGCGCCGGGGGCCATCGCCACGCTCGAGCTTGGCCAGTCGGAGCGCCCTGAACCCTGCGCACGGGCCCCCCTGGGCGAGAAATGGCTGAGGAGGGGGTGGGGCGGAGGAGGAGGACAACACCAGGAGGGAAAGGACACCGGGGGCGGGATGTGGTGCGGGGGGCGGCAGGAAAAGGAGGACAGGAGGAGGAGGAGGAGGAGGAGGAGGAGGAGGAGGAGGAGGAGGAGGAGGAGGGAGGGGGAGGGCGAGAGGGAGGGGGAGGAGGGGCACGGGAGAGATGAGAAAAAGGCGGAAGCGGAGCTGAGCACGCAGCGGAGGAGGAGGAGGAGGAGGAGGAGGAGGAGGAGGAGGAGAGGCAGGCAATTTCTTTCGACCCTCGGGTTTGGGCTGCCCTGATCATCACGGGCGGGTAATTCTCCACATAATGACGCGGCACGCCGTTGCCCAGCCACCGTGGCCCCGTCACTCGCAGCTGCAATTTTACCCGCCGCTGCCATTTAAGCTCAGGCGATACGCTCGAGTGATCTCCAGGAGGAGGCAGGAGCCCGAGCAGGAGCAGGAAGAGGATGCACGTTGACGTTTCTTTGCATGTTGTTTGGCCTCCAGGGGGACCCTCGTTGCCGCAGCTGGGTACGCTTCCAGATTCAGGTCCAGAGGGTCGCTCCAGGAGAGCTCCGGCGGCGGCGGCGGGAGGAGAATGAGGAGGAGGAGGAGGAGGAAGGAGGATGCACATGCTGACGATTTGTTTCATTATGTTGGGTCTCCTGGGGAGCCCGCGTTGCCGTGGCTGGGTTCGCTTCCATGAAACAAAACACATATGAACATACATCGTTCGTTTGGGCTCAACGTCGAATTTTTGGATCGGCGCTGGTCCTCTCGCGGGGGAGAGCTTTTCGTGTTTTTTTTTGTTTTTGCAAAGGCGCGCGCCACGCGCGCGCGTGCACTTTGTCTTGGCTGTTGCAAAGGATTCTCGCGACGGCACGCGCGCAAGGCGTTCGAACGATTTCGACATGCGCGACCGCGAAGCCCGTTTGGTAGTATTTCTTGGGGATAATGAAAACCTATGGCGTTCTTCAGACTTCGCAAGAACGCGCGCGTAAGCCTGTTAAGAAAATCCGTGTTGCGAAACCCTGTGTCTTTTGTATGCGTCGTTTGGAAATTCGATTCTGGAACGCTTTCGAAGCCAAGCGGTTTTTGACGGATTTCGGCATGCGCGCGCGACGACGCGCGCGTGCGCATTGCGTCTCATCTGTTGCAAGGGAATCTTGGAAACTTATGATTATTGATAGACGTGTGCGCGCGCATAGTATGTTTTGGCGGAGGATGGCGGGTGGGGGCGATACTGGCCCCCTTTCTGAGAAAGTGTAAACTCATGTGTAGGATGGACGATGGGGCGGCGATGTGTTTCGCATCGGTGCCCAGGGGGGGAGGTGGTAGAAATTATTTGCTTAGAAGGAGGATGTAAGCGGTGCAACCTACGTGAGGCATTATCTGCGGCGCAGCGTATGCAAGGCGGCGACGGCGACGGGCGGGGATGGCGGCGACGGGCGGCGATGGCGACGGGCGGCGACGGAAGGCAACGGCGTCGTCGGCGGCACAGCGGCGATCTTGCGGCGACGGCCTCAGGATGGTTAGCCGAAGTAAGAAGCCGTAGTGCGACAAGCATTGTTTGGAGAAAATTGGCCAGGGGGTCACAGTGAGAGGGTAGGTAATACACATCGAGGGTTCGTACACGTCAGACAGCATAGGGCGAAGTTGGGTGCCTGTTTATGTATGTGTTTATATATATATATATATGTAGCGAGAGAAAGAGAGAGAAAGAGAGAGGAAACAAAACAAACGAAACAGAGAGAGAGAGAGAGAAATAACAAAACAGCAAAAAAGAGAAAGACAGAGAGAGAGGAGAGCGAAAGTGAGAAACCTAAAGAACCGAAAGAGAGAGAGAGATGGAGAGAGGGAAGGGGACTGAACACACAAAAAAAACACAAATCTACATATATGTTTATACATACACATATATAGATATACACATATCTATATGTATATATTTACATACATACATACATACATACATACATACATACATACATATTCATATACATTTACATATATATATATATACATATATATACATACATACATACATACATACAGCTGCCTGCGGCAAGCCGGCAAGCCCCAACACCGCGCCTGTGCAAGAGCGTTGCAGGAGTGAGACCGAGTACCGACAAATGGTGTGATAAGGACGGGTCGCGAATTCGATTTCGTTTTTCCCGGAAAGGGCGCGGGCCCAGGGTTCTCTTTTAGTAGGTTAACCCCCCGGCCCCCCCGCGACTTGGGCCGGCGAAATTATTCTGCGATAAATAACGAGGTCGCGTAGGGCCAGCGAATTAAATTTTGAGGATGTCTCGAGCGAAACGCTTGTTTTTCCCGGAAAGGGCGCGGGCCCAGGGTTCTCTTTTAGTAGGTTAACCCCCCGGCCCCCCCGCGACTTGGGCCGCCGAAATTATTCTGCGATAAATTACGTGCGGGAGTAGGGCCGGCGAATTAAATTTTTGAGGATGTCTCGAGCGAAACGCTTGTTTTTCAGAGTGTATTGAGGATGTCTCGAGCGAAACGCTGGTTTTGCAGAATTGGGGATGTCTCGAGCGAAACGCTTGGTTTCAGAATTTGTTGAGGATGTCTCGAGCGAAACGCTGGTTTTGCAGAGCCGACCGCGACACGGAAAAGCGCCCCTCGCGCAGGAATTCTGAAGATGTCTCGCGCGTGCCGCGTCCCGCGCGCAGGAATTTAGATTTCTTGGGATTTTGACAGGATGTCTCGAGCGAAACGCTTGTTTTTCATAATTTGTTGAGGACGTCTCGAGCGAAACGCTGGTTTTGCAGAGTTTGGGGATGTCTCGAGCGAAACGCTTGCTTTTCAGAATTTGTTGAGGATGTCTCGAGCGGAACGCTGGTTTTGCAGAGTTGGGGTATCTAACATGGCGTCGGGCCCAACGCCGAATTATGAGGAAAAGTGATGGCTTCTTGCTCTGAACAGGGGGGTGCGCTTTGGGGGCCTCTCCAGGGAAGACGTTGTGAGGATGTCTCGAGCGGGAGCGCGAATTCAGCGTATCCAAGTCACGCAGAGGGGTATCTAACATGGCTGTCCCGAGCTGGAACCACGTGTTTTTTCATGCTCAGGCCACCCAGGGAGATCTCTAACATGATTGTCCCGAGCTGGAACCACGTGTTTTACGTGTCCAGGCCACCCAGGGGGTATCTCTCATGGTTGTCCCGAGCTGGCACCGTGTTTTTACGTGTCCAGGCCACCGACACGACGCTTGTCCCCAGCACGTTCTGGAGCGCGTCCCCTTGGCACGTCTCGCGGTGCGTCCCCGTGGCACGTCCCCTGGCACGTCGCCTGGCGCGTCCCTTGGAACGTTCCGCGGCGCGTCTTCCTGGCATGTTTCCTTGTCAATTAGCTCTGCGGCAGCTACTGCGTGGACTATGTGCTCAGGCAGCTCGAGCTTAAGATCCAGATCAGTTCGGCCAGGACTCGGATGCAACGGAGGACTCGATCCACAACGCGGTAGAGCACAATCGCGGCATGGCACATCGCAGTTCAGCACGGCGCAGCACAGCACAGCCCTCGGCACATTACATCAAGATCGGTACACTCACTCAGCATTGCAACTTGGCACGTTCTTTGGCACGTTCCGTGGCGCGTCCTGTGGCGAGTCCCCCTGGCACGTCGCGCGGCGCGTCCCCTGGCACGTCCCGTGGCACGTCCATAATGCATTGGCACGTTCCGTAGCGCGTCCCCTTGGCACGTCCCGCGGTGCGTCCCCATGGCACGTCCCCTGGCACGTCGCCTGGCGCGTCCCTTGGAACTTTCGGCGGCGCGTCTTCCTAGCATGCCCCCCGTGAATTAGCTCTGAGGCAGCTACTATGTGCTCAGGCAGCTCGAGCTTAAGATCCAGATCAGTTCGGCCAGGACTCGGATGCAAAGGAGGACTCGATCCACAACGCTATAGAGCACAATCGTCACGTGGCACATCGCAGTTCAGCACGGCGCAGCACAGCACATCCCGCGGCACGGTACATCAAGATCGATACACTCACTCAGCATTGCAACTTGGCACGTTTTGGCACGTTCCGTGGCGCGTCCTGTGGCGAGTCCCCCTGGCACGTCGCGCGGCGCGTCCCCTGGCACGTCCCGTGGCACGTCCATTGGCACGTTCCGTAGCGCGTCCCCTTGGCACGTCCCGCGGTGCGTCCCCATGGCACGTCCCCTGGCACCTCGCTTGGTGCGTCTCTTGGCACGTCCCGTGGCACGTCCATTGGCACATTCCGGAGCGCGTCCCCTTGGCACGTCCCGCGGTGCGTCCCCATGGCACGTCCCCTGGCACGTCGCCTGGCGCGTCCCTTGGGACGTTCTGCGGCGCGTCCTCCTGGCATGTTCCCTTGTCAATCAACTCTGGGGCAGCTACTAGTTCTGTGCTTAGGCAGCTCGAGCTTAAGATCCAAATCAGTTCGGTCAGGACTCGGATGCAAAGGAGGACTCGATCCACAGCGCTATAGAGCACATTCGTGGCATGGCACATCGCAATTCAGCACGGCACAGCACAGCACAGCCCTCGGCACGGTACATCAAGGTCGATACACTAAGCATTGCATTTGCCCGTCGCCCAATCAGGTGTCTTTGAAACGTTGCCATGTGTTGCATTTCTATATTCCTTTCCGGGTTCGTGGGTCGATCATGTTGCGAATATCCAGCCCCCCGGTAGCGTAAAATCACTCGGGCATGTTAGTGCGCAAATCACATCGGATGGAGTTCCCCACGGGTCGCATCGGGAACGGAGAGAAGCCACAACGGCTTCGGCTCAGTGCCTTACCGGTCCAGGGCGGAGGAGGCTCTTACTCAGGATGTTGGGGCCCACTCGTGGTAGCAGAGCGTGGTTGCGCTCCACGGCCTGGAGCCGCGCTACACGGCATAGATGGAAGAGGTACGTCGTCGGCTTGCGCTGCGTGTCAGCAGTGCCAGGAGCTCGCCATACGGCTCGAGGTCGCAGCGGGCACGGCACAGCGAGCTGACGCAGCAGCACAACAGGCAGCCGACCAACACAAGGGCTGACAGGAGTCGACAAAAGGCTCGTCAAGCAGCCCAGCGCGTTCCGATGGAGTTCGAGCGGGCTGGTCAGATTGGTCCTTCACGTTCACGTAAGAGCTGGCGCAGACCGACGAGACGAGACCTGAACCGATGGAGCTGCCCGACGGTGACTTGAATCAGGAGTTAGCCCAGGCCAGCGAACAGTTGTATCATGTACTGATGATGCTAGTCAAGGGTGCAGCCATAAAGAAGGCCAACCGTGCACCTATGGGTCATGGCGGTGAAGTGTGGCGCGCGTTGGCCTGCCTATGAGCATGAGCCGAAGCAGCGGCGACGCTTCTAGGCCATGCTCTCGCCCGCCCTGCGCGCGAAGCGACCACACCAATTGAGCGAGAGCATCGACATCTTCGAGAGACTGGTCAAGCAGAGCAACGACTAGTCGGGCAAGAAGATTCCATGCGA